GGAAGTCTCTCTGATTCCATGCTTGTAAACACCATATTGACATTGGTGTATGTCACGAAATTCTTCTGGTGGGAAGCAGGGTACTGGAACACCATGGATATTGCACATGACCGAGGTTTGTACATGCTTTATATTATTTGTCTTGTTCGTTTGTTTGTCATTTTTAGTGCCTTGCCTTTGCTCTCCTGTGCCACGTTGTCTTCTTATTTCTATGCAAGATATAATGTTTTCTGCTCTTAATTTTGTTTTGGCAGCTGGCTTTTACATATGCTGGGGATGCTTAGTATGGCTTCCATGTATATATACTTCTCCTGGCATGTACCTTGTCAAACAACCTGTAAATCTTGGACTTCAGGTACTTTTGACTCCCTGAAAAATCTGCCATATGTTATTTAGAAGCTAATTCATTGTTCACTGGATGTTACCTCTGATTCAGTTGTACCTAAAGTTTTGACTTAGTATCTTTCTATACCAAGATTATCATTTACAAGAACAGTTTCCGGTGAACTATCTGTTTCTCTTTTTCATCCACTGGATACTGGTATAGATCTTAAAGATGGTGGATAGCTTACGACGATGGGGGGAATATTTTATGCTAACATGCTGACCACAATAGTTGAAATTATTTCAAAATTTATGTGTAGGCAATGAACATGCTGAACAAAATAATTAACTTAGTTCTTAAGATATATATGTGCAAATGTCGTATGTAATTGAATAAAACATAGAGTGAGTTCTTTGATATGAAACAAAAGTGCATCTTCCTTGTCATGTCAGGGACAAAAATATTTGTTTTTCTTTGCTTTCTCCTTTTGCATTCAAAGAATGGATAAAAAAATGATTCTACCTTAGACCCATTTAAATGTAGCAAATAAGACGGAGCTCGAGAATACATGTGTGTTTGTAATTGAGGTGTATGCATATGCACCAATCCATGTGAGTAAACTTTGGTTAACATAATAGACTTGAAACACAAAGGAGAGTAGCTACTTGTTCAACCTAAAAAGAGCATGAGGTATATGTCATACATAGTCGTAATTAACATAATAAACCATGCAAAATAGATGACTCTTCAAAATTTGCTAGAGATGTTGTCAGAACTCTGAAGTGGGTGGCATAAACAATTTTAAGATGGAGGAAGTGAATAATGTTGCTTGCTGTGCTAAAGTATTTCTCATGTTATCTGACAAAAGTAACTAGAATGGCTTCTCAAAATTCTGATTCAGAAAAGAACTGATATAAGATATGATGAGTAACCCACTATTGATGCAACTCTAATTGGAAAACAGAGACCTGTAGCTTTTGGCAAAAGGTCACAGCCTCAGAGGTTCAGCTCTTGCCAAGAGTGGGGTTATTCCACCATATTTTGATGCTTGCAGTTTGTCGTTTCATTTGGAATTATTTATTTAGCTTTTCAATCTGGTATGTGTAACATTGATTTATTCACTATAGAATATTCCTTTTTCCGTCACTGAGGGTTCCACCTTGTGGTGGAGGGATATTTGCAGCGGAACATTTCTTGCATTCTACCAACCTACAGAAAGAAACTACGCATAGTATAATGTGAATTTTCAAGAGAGTATGCATTATATTCTACTAGCATTATAGACATCTGAATAAGCTAAAATATAAGTATATTTTATTCTTCAAGCAGTATGGTTAACAAAAAATATAAACAAAAAGTATACGTATACTTGCTTCTTTCACCATCCCTTCTTTGTTAGCTCTGTGCTTGTGATGACCCCGAGTCTTTCTTTCTTTTTTTGCAGCTTGCAATTTATATTCTAGTAGCTGGTGTTCTCTGCGTATACATAAACTATGATTGTGACAGACAAAGGCAAGAGTTTCGCAGAACAAATGGCAAATGCCTTGTCTGGGGAAAGGCTCCATCAAAGGTTGGAGGGCAGCATCTGCGATTTACTCCGTGCCCCAACTAATATGACTTTTTTATTTTTATTTTTGTGACATTCCAAAGTGTTTGACACCATCTATTCATGATATCATTCTATAAAACTTTCACAATTTTCAAGAACTCAAATTGATTTAACTATTCGAAATTTAAACTTTAATGTTTCATTTTCTTTATCAAACCACTTTTTCTATCATTTTTACTAATATTTACTGCCACTACCACTAATATAATATATATGTCAACCTGACATTTTAAACTCCATGTCCAGTCAAAGTATTTTAGAATTCTCTTACCCCTTTGCAATATTTCTGATTTGGTTTCTGTTTTACTGTAGATTGTTGCCTCATACACTACTACCACTGGTGAGACTAAAACCAGCCTTCTCCTGACATCTGGATGGTCAGTACCTTTCTTTTAACTTGTTAATTTTGTAGGACCAAATATTATTCTCCTCTCTGCTACCAATTTTCTTTTTTTCACAAGCTGTAGTCAATTGAACCACCAAATTTCTTGTTATAAAGCTGTATCCAATTGCACTTTCAAGGAGTGGTAAACGAGCTACAAATAGCATGTGGTTCAAAGAACAATTTTACCATTTTTTTTCTCATGTGTTCTTTAACTATTCCTGAAAACACCGAGAGTACTGGATTTCTTTAAGTCTCTTGAGATGCATTGCTGAATATTCACACCAAACATTTTGCAGGTGGGGCTTAGCTCGGCACTTCCATTACGTTCCAGAAATACTAGCTTCATTTTTCTGGAGTGTACCAGCTCTTTTCAACCATGTAAGTGTTCCACTTACACAAATATACAGAATTCATTTCTGTACCTATCAAGAAGAAAATTTAAAAATATTTTGCATCCTTGCTTCCAATTTTGCACTGCCCACTTAAGGTGTCGGGAATCTAACCAACCACTTCTCTCCTTCATAACTTTTCCTCCCCCTTGCAGTTCATTCCTTACTTCTATGTAATCTATCTGACGATCCTCCTTTTCGATCGAGCCAAAAGGGATGATGACCGATGCAAGTCAAAGTAAGCAACTCAACCTTGGCTTGGGTTCTTTAGTATTCTCGCTCTTTACAAAAGCTTGAATTTATGCGATTCAATACATAAAGAACCTTGTGCACAAAAAAAGGACATATTTGATTATTTTTAAACTTGAGAACTTAAGCACTCTCTCTTTTGCATATTTGCTACTTGCTTTTCTTGACCTCTTTAGGTATAGAACTGTGCAGAATGCTTCGAATTAGGATAAGCAACGAAAGAGACAGCTCCATCAGCCAGAGATAGCAAAGGGCTTATTAAATTTTCCATGAAACTCCATTTTCATTTTTTAGTAAAGGAAATGACGATAGCTTTTTTTTTTTGGGTTCACGGAAATGACGATACTTATAGTCCAACGCTTCTAAGGCAATAATCTTACAATCGGGAGATCCAGAGAGTTCTTCTCGGAAGCTATGTTGCTTGGATCCTCCAAAAATTATGCATTTTTTGGAGGATCCGAGCAACATAGAACGGAAGGGGTATCAGGGACACGTTTATCCGAGGAGGTTTTGTTGTCAAGCCCCTCATAAAGGATGTTAGTTGTAAGATTGGGTTGGTGTGTCAATAAGACGTATAAGCAGCACGCCCTCAAGGTGTGAAGTTAGATCATACTAAAAGTGATGAAAACATTAAGTGCAGGCATTTTGCCCCTAACATTAATAACTGGAGGCTTCTTATGATCTACCCTGAGATGTTTGGACATCTATTATTAATTTGCTCATTATTCTTGTCAATGTGTATGAAATCTAGTGAGGGTGAAAGTTTGACAGAGCCGTGCTTCTTTGCAGGTATGGCAAATACTGGAAATTGTATTGTGAAAAGGTGCCTTACCGGGTCATACCCGGAATTTACTAGTGGGTTTTTTGGTTTGCCAGGAATGTTATCTTCAACTGATGAACCTTGAAAGGGTGGCTGTCCCAGAGCGTAGATGTTTCCCTCCCTTTATAGTTTATCCAGATGCTCATTCTAGTTCGTTAATTATTGCTGCTAGTATGTTGTAGAATTTAAACCATGAGTATTGTTTTCCATGACGTACTTATAGTTGTACAACATCCCTTTTGTTATAGTTGTTTTGACACCATGAAGAAAATGTGCATTCAATCACCTAGCCTAAAATCTTACGTGCCTCCCTCTCACCACCAAGGGTTGTGGCGGGATGGATAGAATCCCTCCACTCTTAACTAGAAATCTCGGCTTCGAGTTTTGTGAATAGAAAAATATTTCTGATAGGGAGCGCTTTCCCCTTTAATAGGCCTCAGAAAATTCTTGATAGGAAGCGCTTTCCCCTTTAATGGGTTTCATGCTACCCAAATCCAAATTAGTTTGGGGCTTTCAATGCTTTACCAGATAATGGGTAAAATATGGATCAGAATTAAAATGAGCTGAGTTTTGGTGACAAGATCAAAACCCATAACCTTCAATTCGGCTTGAGGTTTGGTGACAAGATCAGAACCCATAACCTTCAATTCCCGGTTCTGCCTCTGTTGCTACCCTAGCAAGATTCAAGAAGACTGATCATAATGCTGCCCCGAGAAGAACAAGAAAAGGAAAAGAGTAATGCCGGAGCAGAATACAAAAAATGTACGTCACCATGTTATTGCATTAGAGTGACGAGGAGTGGCAAAGTCGGAATTTTAACAAAGGATTCAAAAAAGAAAATGTTAGGGTCTCACAACTGAGATTGGACATGAAGTAAATTTTGAGCAACCTTTGTCAATACTCCAGAAAATTTTCGTTATGCCAGAATAATTCAACATTTTATATATTGACATAAAAAAATTTGTTACACAACATATATCTTCCTGGCAAAAATAATTCAATTGAATTCGCCTCATACAATTTAACTTTGCCCCGGTGACAAGAGGAACATTTGATGATGATGATGCAATATATGATTTGGAACCTTAAACGACTAAGGTTGTACGATGTCTACTCTTTCTTTTCTCTTTTTGTACCCCTTTGCGGTTACCTGGTTTTTGTAGCAGAGTGAAAATAGTTCAAGGGAAAGGATAGCTAACTACAGTCACTTTGGTAGCAGAATGTGAAAGCCCAAGAAAAACCAAAAAATTGCATTAAAGGTACACACATTAGCTAATAAAATCCCCTCATCCCTTCTATCATCTTAAACTTTCCTATACAACAAACCAAGAAACTACCCCTTTTATGACATGATCCATATCATTCTATCATTTTCTTCTTTCTCTACAAGAAGTATTCTACAGCATCTGATTGCTACATATTACAAGTTTACAACCATTGATGGATTAGAAAAGCATGCAACTCTTCATTAGGGGATTCAGATACACCTCTGGGGAATATATATCGATTAGAACCAGAAGGATCATCTTGGTGCAAATGTTAGTCATGGCAAGCATGATTTGCCGCTTGCTCTTAACATTAACAAGTGAAACAGTAGTAAAATGTTGATCACAGCAAACTACCAGTTGCAGGTATTGACGCTGCTTGGTGGAATAAATTCACCACTGCTGTGTTGTTATCATTAGCATTGGCAGGTTCGGTTTCACCTTTTGCTGTAGATTCCAAGAGGCGAACGAGTGAGATGAATATGTCCATCCTTGTTACATTTCTGTATGCCTGTATAAAAAATACAAACAAACAAGTAAAATTGTGGGAGTACAAAAAGCAGATTTCGTCCAATTCTTGATTAGTTACCTCTACAGCAAATCGTGCCCATATTTTGTCGTTCCTCGTTTCCATAACCCCCTTCAAGATAGTCAAGCCCAATCCTCTTATAATGTCAGCTATTTCCAAAAACAAGCCCCGTTCCTCACAAAGCATCTGCAGAGAACAGATAATTTAGATGATTATATTTTTTGAATAATAATGAGATCGTGTCAGATATACTAGAATCGGTAAGAAGTGGACCAAAGGATCATTTATTTGGAGATGTACAGATACCAACCTCCACAAGCATTTGACGAGGTTGATTCAGATCCTCAACTACAATAGGGCAGACCATAGATTGTGAGCTGACTTCATATGCCCACGTTGCTCCGCCTTCAAGATTATCCTTTAAAAGCAATCCTCCCTCTTTACTGATAATCTGCCGGTTCACAACACAAGGACAGAGGTGACAACCAATTCTCACATGAAATTCAACCCCCTTTCTGTTTGATTTATTAACACCTTTTAATCTTTAGCATAAACTAGTAAACCCTTGTAGTTGAAAAAGGTGGGATCCGGACAAAATCGATGAAACGGAAGAAATCCGAGTGAATGGAAAGGAAAACTTGAAACTTATATTGAGAGTAATTATTTTAATATATTCTTTCATAGCTTTCTTGAGCTTGGAAACCTTCTTTCTTCATGCTCTCCAGCCGTAAATTTTACTACCAAATCACTATAGAGTATATCACAATAAGAAACCCCAGTTTTGTCAGTATCATGAGAATGAGGGTAAATGGTTCAAACCTTTGACTCTCCAGTCTGTTTTAGTTTGTCTGCATGTTTTGTGACACTTTGCAAGAAAAGCATGTGTTTAATCGTGCGTTCCAACAGTGCATCAATGCTACACTGAAATCACATGATCGTCAAGCGAAGGCATTACTAAGAGCAAAATCTTCATAAAACGAAATCGGACAATAGTAAAGTAAAAATACAATAATAGAGTAAAGAGGATGTCCAAAGGTTGAAAGGAGGTATCACCTTCGCCCCATTAGGCACAATTTCTCGCAGTTCCTTCACGCGATCTTGGATCATTTGCCGATCTTTTGGCCTGGGTCTAGGATTCTCTCCTGGTTTAAGCCTTTTGCGACTTGTTTTACTCATTTCATCTGGCTTTTTAGAATAGCCTGTTGAAACACTGCTTAACGGCTTTGTGCCATGGCCACTTTCCACCCATGAACTGGTTTGTGATCCATAAATTGAACAACTTTGAGAATGCGTTCCTGTGTTTTCTTTGGAGCACTCATATTTGAATGAATCAGAACTCGTTGCTCCTGATTTTGAAAGTGTCTTGGGAGGCCCATATAGCTCTCCCTGAATTTGACTGGAGAATCCAACTCGGCCATAGAAACATGAAGCATTAGGGGAAGAGGAGCTGCTCAAATTAGTCAACGTCGTCCGACAAGAAAGGTTGTCTTCCAGGCTCTGCTTAGTAGTACGATTGGATACCATAGTCTCTAAGATACGGTCAAAACCAGTCATGGAAAACATACCACTATCTGAGTTTCCTTGGTTGACTGTAGAAGAAGCATCCCGACTTATTTTAGAAGTAGAGCAATTATTAATACAATCCTTTGTGTTTGAGTCCGGTCCTTTGCTTTGCTCATCACTCCAGCTTCCATTTAGTAGTCTGTTTTTAAAATCAGCACCCAAAACATCAAATAAGTCATACCCTGATTGACTTTGGACACACACATCTTCAAATTTGGCATTGTCAAATAAGGGATTCTGCACTCCATGTTCATGTTTTTCACCATATACATCTTGAATGTACTCACTTGAACTTGGTTGCTCATCCCGTGTTGACATAATGCCGAGTGCTTGAAACAAATCATTTTCTACCATTCTTTTGCTCCCGTCCAACAAAAATTGTGTGCCTCGGCCATCCAAAGAACGATTGTTGATTACATCATTAACAACATCATATGAAGAAGATGCCTTCAATTCAGAAGAACCAATCTGAAGCCCATTTCCAGTAAACTCTGTGCAAGAGATAATTTTGTGTGGTGGTCTGATGGCATCTAAGAAAACATTGGGGCTCGGCATTGATTTCTGATACTTGTTCACTTCTTTGTACAATTCAGTTACTCCAGTGGATGGAAGAACAATATTTTCATGAAAGTTGGATGTAAGAACATCACCGATTCTTGGCTGAGATGCTCTAAAGCCATTTGGCAGAGTTGAATTGTTTTTCGCAAGATTATTTTCACCAGAGATCTGTTGTTCAGTCAATCTTATGCTGCCACTATCTAGAGTTAATGAGCCAACAGAAGATTCCTGACAAAATCGTGGCTTTGGAATGTGCAAAGAAGCCTGTTGCTTCGTCCATACGTCAGGGTTTGGTGGAATTACCTCAGCTTTGATCACATTATTTGTTAGCTGGCTGTTTGTAGACATGTATGATGTCACTTCTGGGGAAATTTTCTTGTGAAAGTGGTCATCATGGTATTTGGCAAAACGTCCAGTGATATTAGAGGCTTGAAATGTTGAATCACTAGACTGCATACATTCCTGAATTTGTCCAGCCAAAGAAGAAGTTTGACCGATGAACCTCTCTGCCTGAATTGAGTTAGCACTATAGTTGCAGCTAGCTATTATTGAAGAAGAGGTCATTACTTTGGCTCTCCCACAAGATACCATTGAGACAGAACTCCCAGGATAAACTGGTCTGGCTGTACTTGGGGCAGGTTCTTTCATTGCATTTTCATCAGATAATAAAACACCAGGAACACACCCTAATTGACTTATTAGCGTTCTCACATCCTCCACAAATCCCATATTCTCCAGTATCTGAGGCAACAAAAATCACCATTTTTCACTTCTTGTAATATTAGAACCCGTGGGTGAAAAGTTGAGATTTATTTTGATTGAAGATTTTAAAAAGGCAAGAAAGAGAAATACTTACATGCAAGTATGAACCAAATTGAACAACGCCGTGAGGAAGAACAGGAATAACTGAAATTGTCTGCATAACGATGATATATAAAGAATTTAATCAAGTTACACAAAATAAAGATATATCAACAAAATCAAGATTATTATACCTGGATGCCAGATGAAAATTGCTGAGAAAGCTCCTTCAGAACCTAACAAAACCACCAGATATGGAAGCAATATTAAGCATCATTGGATCAATCCAGTAGTATACTACAAGAAACCAATATCATTACATCTTAGCATCACCAAATTGAAAATATTTAGCATCATCTAAATCTATGTTTGTCCTAACCTTAGCAGGATTCTCAGCTCCTAAATTCAATTGAATAACAAAACTAACTTTGACCACACAAGCAGAATTTTACAAGGGCCGCTGCATCTTTAATGAATGCAGGTTGTGCTTCATTGGATGACGCGGATCTTCACTAGGCACTTCCCTCATTCCTAGCAGTCAATGGTGAGCCTCCTTCATGTTCGGGTCTATCTTTTGATGTTTCAGACTATGGTATTTCCTTTTTAGGTATAGCTGGAACCTTGTCACCGGCATTTCATTCCTTTTCTTTCCATGATTGTCATAGAGGCTCCATAGATATATGTGGGTTTAGATTATGTTTTGTCACTTTATATTAAGGTCTCATGGCATGTACAATCACTACTTTATTTATGTAATGTTTTCAAACTAATGGAAGGCAAATGTTTTAAAGAATGGATCTACATATTAAATCATGCATGGGTTATGGATGGGAAGTTAAGGGAATGTTGGCTTGCTCAACCATGTCAAGGTGTTGAGTGCCGTGTCCCGTTCTCCAAGGTTGGGGCGTGACAAACTGTTCATATTTTCAATGCAATAAAGAAAGTAGAAATGCATATCTACAGATTACGGTGGAATGGCATCTTAAAAGGAAAACAATTGACCATCAGCATGTGAAGAATTATCAAAATACATACCTCTGGTGGATGAGCATCTTTACTTCGACCTTTTGAAAGAATCCATTGATGGTTTCCAATGGCCGCAGCCCGGCCAATTAGTCTGAGATGCAAAATTAAGGATATAACATATGAAGTAACTCTTCCCAGCTCTCATTTTATGACAGAAAACATCAATAAGCTGCATTTAGTAAAGGTCATACCCTTCTCCTACTAGATTGAACTGTTTGTCCATCATCATTCTTTTTACGAGCAAACACAAGCTCTCACCTGCTTGATTCAGAAGCTGAGAATTTTGAACCTCACCCGAATCCCAGCAAGCACTCCAGTCTTGGAAAGCTAGTTTTGGATTCTCAACTTCACAAGTTCCATGTAAACCAGAGAATGTTGAAGTTTCACAATAAGATTCTTCCCAAATTAAAAGCCTGGCAAACCAAAGAGATATATCTTTTCATTTGCAGCATTTGGAAAATTTTAATCAAGAATAGAAAAAACATCAGGCAAGTCATTCAAAGAAAGTGACAACTCTCTGCATTCCTATTTTGCTAGATTGCTGGAAAAAGTGCAAGAAACTAAAGAACAAGAGACAAGAAGTTTGATAATAAGAACATACAGAATCAAACAAAAATGACAAAAACAGTAATAAGTATGTTTGTGCACAGCAGATCATAACAGTTGAAAGGGCTTTGTAAGAGTACAACAAATCTACTTTTTTCCAACTTTCATTAAGATTCTTGAAGACAAAACACAGTGGACCAGCAACAACATTCCAAACTACCAATCAAAAACAGTACAACAATATCCCATAAATCAATTACACGTCAAATCATACTGTAATCAACAACAGAATACACAACTTCAACTCAATTACCCCAGATTCAAGAAAGCTGTCTTCGGTCAAACAAGGCAGACTGTGAAGAAAGGAACTGAACACAATAAAATTAGTGAAACTCAGTTTACAATTTTGCAGCAATAAAAGGACAGTCAGACTTTTAACTTTTTCAGTAGTTACTTTCATTTGCCCTCCATTTTATCAGCCAAGGAAAAAAAAAAAATCATCAGCATCAAAAGCCAGAAAAGAAAGCAGAACAAGAGTAAGCAAAAATCAAAACAATGCATAAGAAGCAAAATAAAAGAATATCCAAATTAGAAATTTGTAATCACATTTTTCTCCATTTTGTTAAAAACAAGAAAGCACTTAACTTTGTACTAAAACCAGAAACCAAACTGCCAAAGGTTACATCTTTATACTCTCACTTTAATCTTGCTTGAAAAATATAGCTACACCCACATGGAAGATATTAAATAAAACATTAAGCAGTAACTCACTTGGTGTTTTGGCAACCGATCTTCCAGAAAACAGCATAAGACCACTGGTTTACTCCACAAAGAGTTTTCAACACCTCTTTCAGCCAATACCCCATACCAACTTCTGTTTTGTTCTGTGTCAGTGTGTGTGTGTGTGTGTGTGTGTATAACCCCAGAAGGCACCAAAATAATATATTACATATTACTATTATGGATTTCTCAAGAGAGAAAAGACATTTTTTTCTTTGCAGTAAAGAGTCTAACTTCCCCTGCAAGAACCACGTCCTGCCTGTTTAGTTCTCAGTCCACCACTTCTCTTCCTTTGTGGATCCAAATTCACTACTATCATATTCCTGTAACCCATTCTAAAGTGGAGAGAAAAGTGAAAGAGAGGAAAGGAGTAACAATATAGAGAAGGCCCTCTACAGGGAACTACACAATACCACAAGCTTTATGCTCACAGTTAACAACAACAACAATTTTCTCCATTTTCAGAAAACCCCCCAAAAAGAATTGAACCAAAATAAATACCGAGTGTATATAGAAGTAAAAGATCAGAACTTTTCGGACAGTTCTTGAATCTTGAGTGGGAAAAAGAATCTCTCGTGTATGTACTAATGTTATGTCACCAATCTGTATGTGTGTGTGTGTTTCTGGGAAAAAAGAAACGCTTTCTGTGAAGGTTATGGTTTGAGTAGTAGTTGAAGCAGTGCTGTTGTGTTTCAGTGTTTTTTTTTCTCAGTGCTGACTCTGCTAACTTCTGCTTAGAAGAAAATGGTGGGAAGTGTGCAGCAAAAAATTGGCTATGATTAAAACATACAATGGGGAGAGAGTATAGTAGTTGACAGAAAGAGGCTTGGAATTAGTAGAGAACTACGATTTTACCACTGGGGGGTTAATTTCTTGTCAGCTTTTGTTAGTCTTTTTCAAAATCAGGGGCTCGGGGCTTTTGTGTTTTGTGCATTGGGACTGTACATGGAATCTGGGAATTGCTTCTTCTTAGGAAAACAGATTAACATTCTCTTTTGTTCCCGAAAACAATTTTAATTAATTCAAATATATCAATCTGTATATACATTAACAACCAACATTAATTTTTCTAAAAATTCTATAGCAAAGATGATACAAAAAGTATTTAGCTATTTATTAAATATGTGTATATTACATACATACTATTGTGGCCCATAATATTTGTGTTTTGAAGCAAAACTAAAAACAATTTAAAAGCAAAAACATATGCACTATCAATGCCTATAGCAGAACTATTTAAAGAAGATTTTTATTAAAACAGTTTATATAAGTAATAGAGAATAGTAAATACATTTACGCAACTCATTATTATGCCAAAAATAATGCAAAATATTTAGTTTAACCCGATGAAAACATTTTTATGGAGTTTACAAAATTTGATAATCGTTCAAATAATATCGATTTTTTGTGAAGTCATTTGTCTTATTTTAGTAATTGACAAAAAATAACCGTACCATAAGAATAATATCGGATGGACCAATTGGCTTAAATGGCTGCCATGTGGCCCCTCTATTAGCACGGGGTATATTTGTTCATAATACGGTAGAAGTATTATTAATCAATTAGTATAATGGTGTAATTTTAAATAATTTTCAATAATAAAAAGGTATTTTTATCGTTTTTCGTTTTTAAGTTAATATAATGCCTTTTGAAACTTAAAAGAGTTTAAAATTATATATTCTTACAAACTTTTTTCTTTACATCATACATCTTTTACTAATCAACTTGTATTATTGAACGCATCTAAAATGTTTATATTTGGCCATAAAACTTAAAATTTCTATACAAGAAAATGCAAAAAGATACATTTGTTCAGATAATCAACACGAGAGTAACAAAAGATTAGACCTTGTGATATAGATTCGAATTATAATTGATTGTCTATTTAGTCACCAAGGAGGATTTTTTCTTGATAGTTTTAAGTACTCTTTTGGATAAATTAATATGACTTAAATTTATATACTAATAGTGTAACAATACATACACAATTAGATCATTATACATTAAATAAAAGTCAATTTTATAACTAATATTAGTAAATTATAAAAATAACTAATTTATTGTCGTAAGTTAAACCATACTAATAAACATTAACAAGTAGTAATATATTTTGAATCAGCATTTTAAAAGGCATTTTTGAAACTCGTTCTGGGGCTCGCCCTTGGATGAGGCACTTGCAAAATGCCTTGAGGCTCATGTGCGAGGCTTAGTTCTATGAAGTTTATGCCCCAAGCGCCCGACTATGCGTCCTAAACACGCCTAATGCCCAATGCTTGGAGCTCGTCTAATTGTTTTAACGCAAATCACATGTCAAATTTCCTAATTAGCATCGTTGACCCTTAAAATTCTTTAACAAATTAATGATAAAAGTTCTATTCATCAATAGAAATACGAAGATTGAGCGTAACTCAAATAATGTGTCGTATTGCGAATTTATATTTTCACGTGTTATTGGTCATGTCTTAGTTCATATGTCTCTTGTAATTGTAGGCTTTTATTAATTTGATATTTTAAACTACTTTATATTTATTCATGAAGGAGTAATGTTTAATTATAGTATTGATAAGATTTATTGAATTTTACTTTTAGGAAGGTAAAATGCAGAGTTTAATAATATTTTTTAAGAAATTGTAATTATTTTTATTTGTTTGAAAGTTAAGACGTTCTGCGTGATTTGTATGTATTGTTTATACTTAACAAACATGCTACATATTTTGTTTTCTATGAGTTTCTTTAATTTTCTTAATTCTAAACTTTTAATTTATATTTGTATTTTTTGTGTTATTATTTTACTTTATTAATTTTGTAATGAAACAATAAAAGAAGAAGAACAATATTGCAGAGAAAGAGAGAGAGGGGGAATTCTTATTGAAATTTTGGGATGAATTACAATGGAACAGAACCCTCTATTTACAGGGAGAGAGTGACTTAGCTATCAAGTAATAAACCCTAGAATCTCTCTAAATATAGACATTCACCATAAATAAAATTCTATTTATAACACTCCCCCTTGAATGTCTATTCAACAGATAATGTGTCTCGTTAAAACCTTAACTAAAATAAAACCCAATGGGAAAAAATCTAAAAAAGGAAAAAGAGTACACATATCTAATAATATGCCTTTTGGTTGCCTCGTTAAAAATCTTGCAAGGAAAACCTAGTGGGACAAAACCTTGTAAGGGAAAAAGAGTGCAACGCGCATTAACTCCCCGTGATGAGAGCATCAATTTACATCCTTGAGCTTTCGCATTCCAATCTTGTACACTAGCTTCTTGAAGGTTGACGTCGGTAGAGACTTGGTGAACAAATCAGTTATATTATCACATGAATGAATCTGTTGCACATTAATATCACCATTCTTTTGAAGATCATGTGTGAAAAATAACTTTGGTGAAATGTGCTTTGTCATATCTCCTTTTATGAATCCTCCCTATAATTGGGCTATGCATGTTGCATTGTCTTCATACAAAATCGTGGGTAGTTTGTCACATTTCAAACCACATTTGTCTCGAATAAGATGTATTATAGACCTCAAACACACACACTCTCGACTTGTTTCATGAATGACAATTATCTCAGCATGATTAGATGAAGTAGCCACAATTGATTGCTTAGTCGATCGCCAAGATATGGCAGTGCCTCCACAGGTAAACACATAACCTGTTTGAGATCGAGCTTTGTGTGGGTCAGATAAATACCCAGCATAGGCATAACTAACAAGATCAGGACTGTAATTATTACTATAAAATAAGCCCATATCGGTAGTCCCTTTTAGATACCGCAATATGTGTTTGATTCCATTCCAATGTCTCCTTGTAGGAGCAGAGCTATATCTTGCTAAGACATTAACTGAAAAGGTTATGTCAGGCCTTGTAGTGTTAGCAAGATACATTAGTGCACCAATTACAATAAGATATGGTACTTCAGGACCAAGTAGCTCTTCATTCTTTTCTTGAGGTCGGAATGGATCCTTATTTACATCAAGTGATCGAACAACCATCGGAGTACTTAATAGATGTGCTCCATCCATATAAAACCGTTCAATACATTTTCTATGTAGGCAGATTGATGAACAAAAATTTTGTTTGTTATATGTTCAATTTGCAAACCGAGATATAATTTTGTCTTTCCGAGATCTTTCATCTCGAATTCCTTCTTTAAATAATCAATTGCCTTTTGGAGTTCTATAGGAGTTCTAATAAGGTTTATGTTATCAACATATACGGTAAGTACAACAAATTCCGATGTTGTTTTCTATATAAAAACATATGGACAAATGATATCATTTATATAACCTTCCTTTAATAAATATTCACTAAGATGATGATATCACATACGTCCTGATTGCTTTAGACCATATAAAGATCTTTGCAATTTGATTAAAAATATTTTTCGGGACTTTGAATTATGTGCGTTAGGAATTTTAAATCCCTCGAAAATTTTCATGTATATCTCATTATCAAGTGAGCCATAAAGGTAGGCGGTAACCACATCTATTAAATGCATGTCAAGCTTTTCATGGACATCAAAACTAATGAGATAACAGAACATTATAGCATCCATAACGGGTGAATATCTCTTCGTAATCGACACCAGGCCTTTGTAAAAAATTTTGTGCAACAAGGCGTGCCTTATATCTTTATACCTCATTTTTCTCTTTCCTCTTGCATACAAAGATCCATTTATAGCTAACAAGCTTAACACCATTAGGTGTTTGGACTACAGGTCCAAAAACTTCATGTTTCGCAAGTGAATTCAACTCTGATTGGATTGCTTCTTGCCATTTTGGCCAATCACGTCTTTGTCGACATTCTCCAAAAGATTGAGGTTCAAGATCCTCATTTTCTTGCATAATTCTAGATGCAACATTATATGCAAAGACATAATCCACCACTCGATTCAAATTTGTCTTAATATCGATTGGATTTATTGATAGTTTCTTGTTCTCTTGAGTCTCAGGCTCAGTGATTTCCTCATGAATCTCAGGATTGGTTAATTCGTAGATTTCTTCGTGAGACTCTTTCGTAGTGTCATTTTGATCATTTGTTTTCCTTTTTCTAGGATTTCGATCCTTAGAACCTAATAATTTACCACATTTTAGGCGTGCTTTTGACTTATTAGCTATGACACTAGAAGATTATCCAACATGGACATCAATACAGATTGGAACATTCTCTGCAGGGATATGTAATTTTGTTATTCTTTTCAGATCCGTAAATGCGTTTGGTATTTGATTTGCTATTCTCTACAAATGAATAATCTTTTGTACATCTTTTTCACAAATAGAGGTACGTGGATCAAGATGAGACAATGATGGATTTTTCCACAAAATTTCCCGTTTGTACCAATTTCTCCCCCTAATTTTGGAAAAAGTGTCTCATCGAATCGACAATCTGCAAATCGTGCAGTGAACAAATCCCTTGTTAATGTTTCGAGGTAGAGAATAATGAAGGGTGATTCAAACCCAACATATATTCCTAACCTTTTTTGGGGGCCCATTTTGGTGCGATATGGTGGTGCTAGAGGCACATATACTGCGCATCCAAAAATTCTTAAATGAGATATATTAGGTTCATGACCCAAAACTAATTGCAACGGGGAATATTTATGATAATTTATCGGTTTGAGACGAACTAGCATTGTTGTATGCAAAATGGCGTGACCTCAAACAGAAGTGGGCAACCTCGTTTTCATGAGTAATGGTTTTGCTATCAGTTGCAAACATTTAATTAAAGACTCTGCAAGGCCATTTTGGAGTGTGAACATAAACTACAGGATGTTCCACTTTTATCCCAATTGATAATCAAT